ACACTTAAAAATACAGTGGACAAAACTCAAGAGTAAAACTCAAGAGTGTTGGTTTGTAAGGATTTGATTGGTTACAGGATTTTCATCATGAGCTGAAGTTAGTTATAGAACCATTGGATCGGCAGAAGTTAGAATTCATGGGCCATTGGATCGGGTCCCAGTGGCTTAATGGTATACGAGCTCGACTTGTAACCAAAAGGTCCTAGGTTCGAATCCCGGTGGATACGTGCTACTGAAGAGTCCCAAACTAGGACGAAACAGCTGTCCAGTACTCCCAGTTGCTTTTCCAATGATTCTCCAACTAATTTCAGCTGATCATGAAAAAACTCAAGAGATTGGAGAAAAACAACCGAAAAATCGTGTTTAAGAAGTCTAGTGAAAAGATGATAACATAATCTGTAATGAAACATAGTGATTAACAAAACTAGAGATTGAAAATTCATTGTAGTGTAACAGTTTAAATATACTGAATGCTCACAACGGGTCTACTTGGTGTCCTGTGACCGAGAAAATTAAATCATTCAACCGACTGCATCGAAAGCCATTTCGTACATGTTCAAAGAATTTGATTTAGGCTGTTCTTTCGGTTTTTTCTAAAGGAACCACTTCCTCACATACATGTGAATTGATTTAAACGACTGGAGGTAACAATATAAGGGGTTCTTATCGACTTTTGATCGTGTCTACTAGCAGGATTGTTATTATTATTAATATTTGGTACTGAGGCCGTTTGTTGATTATTTTCTATCATTTAACAGATTAGCTTTTCAAGAAGAGCGAATGACAAACTAGCTGAAATAGTTAAAAATATTACTCTTGAGTTTTTTATTCATGAGAGCTGCCTACTGCCACCAATGATCTCCCTGGTTATGGTAAACTGGATATCATAGGATAGACTATGAAGAGTGAGAATATGGAAATATTTTGGACTGAATAAAAGATCCTAGAATATCCTGACATCACAGATGATTTCTGTCTCTTGTCTAATAGAGTCAAACACTTGCAAGCAGAATCCAACAAGATGGCAAAACAGGCAACCAGCCTCTGCTCAGATGATAGAGTTAAGCCCTAATCATCATAATCATTAGCATCCATAGGCGAAAAGTTGAATGACGCCATCTCTTTCACTCACCTGTACATGCACGAATAAGGATTTCGAAGCCAGCCAGAAATGGGAAAGTAAGAGAGGCAATCGTTGCTCTGAAGAGAGTGTAAAGATCTATATTACAGCGCCTAGCACAAGGGGGAAATCCGAATTAAAGATCAAAACGGCCTTCAAGAATAGATAATAAAAAAAATAAGGAACTCAGACGTAGAACCTATCACCCACCAAACGGAGTTGGATGGGATGTAAGATGAGAAAATGTCCAAATAAAGTCACATGACAAACATGCTCTTGAAGAGGACTCGAGTGGATGGCAACAACTTATGCGTCAGAGGGTGAAATAGACGAGACCATGTTTAGTAGAGATGTGAGCTAATGGGCAATGATAGGACCAACTTAAAAACATCGTAGTGGACAGAGCGAAGCGGAGAGGTACTGCTGACACTCTACATTCCAGTCGAAATAGCAGAGATAAATAGTAATACATAATCGTTTCATACAAAACCAAGTGTTATGATGACGCTACAAACTGGACAAACATTAGATAAGTCCAGTCAATTCTCTATATCTCTCTGTATTTGTATGAATATCAGCAGTATAAAAAAAAAACTGAAAATTTTGAGAGAGATAATTTAAAAATAAATTGTATTATCTAATCAGTTTTCTCTTAAATAATAAACGACAATGAAATAAACTTGCCTTTTCAAAAAAGAAGAGATTATAAATCTCCCACAAGATGTCTTCTTTTTATCAATGTACTTATGTCCTTATAATCTTCGCCTTGTTGACCTGTTTATCATAAGTACACGTCGATAACCGCTGTCATGTCATTCAATTTTGATGGACACTTTCATTCTGTTGATACTGTGGCTTATCACCGTGAAGAGGATATTCCAATGTAAGACATTGAAAACTGCCGCTTTTGATAATAATAATAATACTGATAATAATACTGAAAAAAAAATAAACAAAGTATACCTTTACATGAAGCCAGAAAAGTTGACAGAAAAAGAGGACATATAAAAGATTATGAAGTCTTAATAAAAGTGCAAGTATGACGTAAAAATCAAAAGTATATATATCCTATCAATTTTTTTATTTGTTTCTAATCAGTCAACAAATCCTCTTACCCTTCAAGTGATAACGAGGTGAACTGAACACTGAAACATGGCAGTCAAGATGAAAATAGGCCATTTGTATAGGGTGGATAATTTGGTTACTATGCTGGAGCTACATTATGTCAAAGTTAATGTGTTTATTTTAATGTAACACACTCATTGATACAGTGTGATTTCATGAGTGGCTTTTTAATCGTTACCTCAGTTAAGGATATGCTAATGGAAGTATCCTTAACTGAACTTAACGACTTACGAATCGACTTGTTACCAGGGAATAGTCTAATGGACTTAGAATATGCAGATGACATAGTCCAGTTAAGGGAGCATGATGACAAAATGCAGAGTCTTCTGAACACCTTGAGCAGCAATCTTCGTATGTTTGGTATGCGATTCGCCCCTGTAAAATATAAGATGCTGCTACAGGACTGGACTACGTCAACTCCAAGCTTAGTGATAGGGAGTGAAGCGATAGAACATGTTGACCACTTCACCTATTTGGGAAGTTGTATCAGCACCAACGGATTGATTGGTGACGAAATCTCAGCACGGCCCCAAAAAGCTCGAGATGCTTTCGCTAATTTACACCGTCTCTGGCGTAGGCGTGACATCCGGCTATGAACCAAGGTACGTGTGTACTGCTCAGCAGTTCGCTTCGTCCTTCTCTATGGCTCTGAAACATGACCAATACGAGTTGAAGAAATGAAGAGATTGTCTGTTTTTGACCACAGATGTCTACGATCTCTTTCTCACGTTAGGTGGTATAATAAGGTAAGTAATGTTGACGTTAGGTGTGAAGTGTTGGGCAAGGAGGGAAAATCAATCGAAGAGGCTATAAAGTTACATAGATTGAGATGGCTAGGTCACGTGCTGCGCATGCCTAACCATCACCTCCCCCACCCCGACGGGCATTACTAGCTGATATAGGTGCAGGTTGGGAAAGAGTAAGTGGTGGCCAAACAAAAACATGGCCTCATCAATCCATGAATTCCTTGACAGTTAAACTGAGTCAGGTAGGGAGATGTAGACTTCCGGGTTGGGGCCCTCGGGACTGTAAGAATCAATCAATGGCTGGAGACAATAGGTGACATGGCTCAAAATCGTTGTCAATGGCTTACGCAGATGTATTCAGTCTCTGTAATCTTTCATATTCCTTTCTACCATTACTCATTCTGTTTCACTCTTGTACTTGTCAAAACTCTACTGATTCTCTTCACTCATTTTCTTGTCTACCTTTGTGTGCTCTTTGGAACGTGGCAACTGGAACTGCTGCACTTGGGTGCCAAGTTCCATGTTGAATCCAGCCAGCCACCTCACTTAAGGTTTGATGTTTACAAATTTAAACAAACAAGGATGGGATCAAAGTAATTACTGTCTGTTAACAAAGAAACCCTTAAGAAGTTAATACATAAAAACTGTCAACTAGCTACAGTTTAAATAGTTTAGAACTTTGATAGAGATTTAACTGAACGATTCTACAAACAACTTAACTCAGACATTATTGGGCAAGGATTGTATAGACTAGTCAGTAAGTTAGTTAGTTGGTCTCTTCAGCTTATATTATATCCATTTCCATTTCCTTCCTCATATTTGTTGAACAGTGGGCTAGTTGACTGGTTAGCTGTACCTGCAGACTTCATTGCTGTTTGCTCACTCTTTCTGTATGGCAATTAATCCTTCATTATCTGACTAAGGGAGCAGATATTGATGAAAATATCCCACAGGCTGTCGCAAATGTTTCGGTGAGGCACGCACAACAAGTCTCTGAGCTATACGACAGCAATGACTGACTTGACACTAGGCGGATCAAACTATTACTCGAAAAGGTAAAAGACAGGATTAGAGATGAATGCGATATTAAATGAAAAGACACTCACGATGTATTACATGTCAGACAAGCCGTTTAATGGAGTCAAAATGAGAGGCAGCGATTTCGTCGTGGGTCTGAGCGTGAAATAGTGAAGATACTGTGTTGAGGAAATGAATGTTTGTGGGCAGTTGTGCAGTGGTGATAGGACAGAATCTAGTGGAATGTTTATATGTCACTGTAGTCCTGTTTTCCGCTCTGAACTCAATGATAATAATTTAATATTCAGTGGTATGGCATTTATCTAAATGCATTTAGAAATATTTGGTAAATATGTACCGAATACTTCGGGTTGTGTAGTTATTATAAACGTCCATTAGACAAGAGAAAAGCCTTTAATGTAGTCTTAACTTCAGTCCGGTTTTCAAAAGAATTTTTCGTCACAATTCTGTAAAGTGCTTCCTGCACATTTAGTGACGATTTTGTTTTTATACCCATCTGACCACTTATTATTGTCTTGAAGATTACAACAGGTTGACAGTAAGTTGTCAAAATAACCTCACAGTAAGGTTCCTCACCTTTAATCATTCAGAAACTGATAGGAATCTGATTTTCCACACAAGACTCCAAAATGTAGGACTGATGGATGCACAAAATCAGTAGCTTCTATTGCCAATAAAACCATCCCACAAATCGGCACATATCAGAACTGATAAGTCTAGTGGCTAGATGGAGACATGCTAACCTACTAACTTAGCAGTCCTAGGTTCGAACCCCGGTGGGGCAATGGGTAAATATTGATGCAGAATATGCAGGATATGGATGTCCAGTACTATTTGATTTTTTTCAGTGATTTTCTAACTGGTAAAATCTACCATTTGTTTACAAATTGTTATAAAAGGCAAACTATAGTATTTACTTACTTTCTAATACAAGATTAACTTTCTCCCTATTTATTTTTATTAAATTACAGAACTACCAATGAAAAAATTCAACGAAATTATGCTGAATTCAACCAATCATGGGGTAGATTCAATGACATAATTAAACAAGTAAGGCTAATTTATTATTACGTTATTCACTCCACCAGTAATCTAATGATTAATTCACTTAATCTAAATAGCCTTAAGGTATATTTACATAATATAACTTAGAAGCACTTGGATTAAACCATTGGTAGTAACAAGTATCACACGTCTACTCATCCATTTGATGCAGACTGAATTCAGTCGGTCAAGTCCTCAATGTCACTACTATGCAAGGTAGCTCGCCATTATAGTACAATCTAAATGGTTGCTGTTAGATTGTTGAAAGCTATCGGCAGGAAGTCTTCAACAGAGGTTTCATGCTTGTCAGCACTCTTCAGTAAGGCGTGACTGCATTTCTCAAGGAGGAAGTGAAAGAAATGAAATCCTGTGACCAATCAATCACATCCCTACAAACTAATACTTGAATATTACTGAGATAATCACTAGCGACTGGCCCTATTCAAGTAGGTAGTTACCTCGAGTTCTACTGGGGAAACGTGGCCAGTAGAGTACAGTAGGTTATGTGTGAGGACAAATACTCGCCGAAAACATTGGTTAGTGGTTGCACTATGCGTAAGTTACCACAAGTTTGGATTCCTGGGCCACTGGATCGGGTCCCAGTGGCTTAGTAGTCTACGGACTCGCTTTGTAACCATAAGGTCATGGGTTCAAATCCCGATAGATGCGTACTGTGAAGAGTCTCGAACTAGGACGAAACAATTGTCCAGTACTCCCAGGTTTTCCAATGGTTCTCTAACCAATGTCAGCTCATGATGAAATCCTATAACGAATCAATCAACTGCCTACATATGTTTTTCCTATTTTAAAACAAGACATCCGTTTATTGTGCTTTTCCTCAAGAATTTTACTTGTCACAAGATAGCTATAACCTCTAAAGTTAATTGAAGTGAATTTATTGACAACGTTAGCTCAGACAAATTATTTATTTTCAATTTTACAGTGTCGATTTACAGTGACGTGACTGATTGCAAGTAAGGTCACGAAGTGACTTCATTTGAAAAACCTTTGTAAACTACAGAGTATTAGGCAGCTATTTTATTCCTTTTTGGGACTCCCTATCAGTACGTACCTTACACATGACGAATCAAGTGGAAGTAAGTTTAATGATTACTGATGACTGACTACAGCATGAAATTCTAGTGAGTAGTCATAACCAGTGGGTTTCACCAAGCCGATTGGGAGGACGAATACTCATAGGTAACATTGTTTGCTGGTGATGCCGTGCACCGTAAACTGGCAGAAGTTAGAATCCATAATCTGTAAAATTCAGTCCCTGAGGCTTAATGATCAAAGCGCTAACCTCGTTACTTGAAAGGCCTGAGTATGATCCCCAGAAGGGTCATGAATGCCTACTGACGAAGCGTCGCAAATTAAAAATAAAGCAGCTTTCCAGTATTCCCTGGTTCACTATCTGATGTCACCTGTTATTATTTTACAAGTGATCGGATCATTTAGTTAGAGTAATAACTAATACGAAATTGTTCATTTCTTAGACGTGACTTGATGTGTCAATTATGTTGAATTAACCGGAATTATAGATTCCCTGAGAAAATTGTTAATCAGGTGAATACTCCAAACATATAAAAAGAAGATATTACACCAGCTGAATTTAATTGCATGACTAAATCTAAATTTTAGCTGTTGATTGATTTTTATTGCAACGAAATATTCACTCTCCGTCGACATACTGCCTCGAAGTATGGAAACTTTGACAATGTGTGATGGTTAACGTGATATCACTCAGCTAATAGTGGCTGGAAGTGAGATCCAGAAATACGCCTTTCATCATTCAATTCAGGACTTCTCACCGGGATGTGCTTTCATACTGAGCGAGTGATGGTGTTCCCACTGAGACTGAAAGCCTGTATCTGTCATTTCAATGCTGAAGCCTGATTTACCAGGCTACTGGGTCACAAGGTCCAGGGTTCGATCCCCAGCCGACGCACTCCTTTACCTCGCTAAGCCAGTAATAGAACTGGCAAAGAGGGAAGGTTGGGCATGAGGCTAGCAACCCCATCCTGTAAAAATAAACACTGCTACAGAAACTTCAAGCCTGTACCTTGAAGCCCTATGTTCCACTGGGAACGTGAAGGAATAAAAAAACTGGGTCACTGACATTCACTTTTGTGACTAGACTACAAGTTAGTAGATACTAGAGACAAAAAACTCATTCATGAAGGGATTGAAACCTTCATAATCGAATTCCAAAATTTGCAGAATATCAGACAATTTCCATCTTTATCCTGAACTACAGTAAACTGGAAGATTTATAAGGGGAAACCAGTAATACGGTGAAAGAGTCAACCAAGACAGGACTTCAGGTGAATATAGAGAAGATGGAGGTGATGAAGATGCCTAAACAATATCATCAAACACCAACCACCATAAATAAGGGAAGTCTAAATGGAGTGATCTCTTTCACCTTCCTGACTTGAGAACCATTCCTTTAAATATAAGCAGCATGGATGACAATTTCATAGCCAGACAGGATCAGGAAAGTAAGGTAGCTAGTCATTACTCTGGGATCAGTCTGCAGATGTACAGCAATCAAAAGGAGGAATAAGATCTGGATTCTCAAAAATAATGTCAGTTGTGTGGTTCCAAGTGGCTCAGATATTTGACTCATGCGTCAATGAGAGTATTTCCAACAGCCTACTGTAAACTTTCAATCGATATTGGATATCAGTAGTTGACCGTCCAGTTAGGATAAGCAACAGGGAACCAAACCAACAGTCAAGTTCTCATAATTCTTCATATACTTAATCCTTCTCCTGTACATCTCTCTTCACTAAAGCTGTTCTGCTTTCTTCAGTTCCTTTATCGAATGATTTCATGGATTAAGAGGAACTCGAAGTGTTGCAACTTTGTGCAAAGTTCTACGGTGAAAATTCAGTCAGTCAGTCAACTACTTAGTATAAGCATCAGCCTCTAGAAGGCTACCTAACAGACGTTTAAAACTATAATTTAATTAACATCTATAAACAGAATATAATTATCTCATAGATGTAAGTATAATCCGTTTACTTACCACCCACTGCTGCCGAAAAGGAACACGGCTTTACAAGTAGAAACCTCAGAGTAATAGAAATGCTTCTGTTAAAATTCAAATTACTAATAATTATGTTGCATTATTATATTATTATTGTTCCCTTGGGTTTCTTGTGGAACACAGGGCTTCAACTACACATCTCCACTTGCTTCTATCTTATGCTGTACTTTTCACTTGCATCCATGTTAGTCCATACTGTTCCATCTCCTCTTCACACGATCTCCTCCATGTCACCCTTCGACGTCCCACTCGTCGCTTCCGTTTCGGGTTCCAATCGAGCACTGGCCTGACGCGCGATGTCACCCAACGGCCTCCTCAGCGAGTGTCCAATCCATCTCCACTTTCTCCTGCATATTTGTTGAGCGATTGGTTCTTGTTCTGTTTGTTCCCATAGTTTCTTGTTAGTGATTCTTTCCGGCCATCTGATCTCATCTTGAGTATAGAGCGAAGACAGCTGTTGATAAAGGTCTGCAACAGGCTGTTGGAAATATTCTCTGTGACCCGCCAAGTTGCTGATCCGTATGGAAGAACTGACTGACTTGACGTTTGTATTGAAAATCCGAATTTTGTTGTTGATGTAGGCTGAGTAACGAAGATTTGCAGATTGGTTTCAGGTTGATGAATGTGTTTCTCGACTTCCCGATTCTCGCTCGATTTGACATCCTCGTCCGTTCCTCCTGTAGTTGAGACAATGCTCCCTAGATAAGTGAATGAAGTAACCTCTTTCAAATCCCTCCCGTTGATGGTGATTGGCGTTGGATGTTGCTGCTGTTGTTGTTGTTGGTTGGTTGGTTATTTCCATAACCTTCGTCTTGTCTATGTCCACCTGCAGTCCTGTCTTTGCTGCTTCTTCGACCAGTTTATCGGTTTTCGCTTGTAAGTCTTCGATTTTGTGTGACATCAAACATAAATCATCCACGTGCGGAATCCAAGTCTTCTAGATTCTTCACGTTGGTCCAGGATATCCCTGTCTTCTCGTTTCCCACTGTCTGACACATAATCCAGTCCACCACAATTAGGAATATCATTGGTGATAATAAGCACCCTTGTCTGACTCCTGTTTTTACTCCAAACGCCTCGCTGAGTTTTCCGTTGTGGATGGATCACTTGACATGTGTCGTTGTCGTACAGCCGTTGAATAAGGTTGATGAATATTTGGAGTACGTTGTAGCCCTGTGTTACCGGTTATTGGCAGGGTGAATTAAACTGTCAGAAATTATCTCTAAAAATCATCAATACATGTTCAATAGGAAATAACTCCTTTGTAATCAAAGTTTCACTACACACATGTTGTCAAGATTCATAGGAAATAACTGATGTATTGTACTCGTCGAAGATGCCTATTCTGTCTTACAGATAGGAACACTACAGGGAACTTTATTTTTTGAGAAGTGCCTTTAGGTATAATTCTACGTGATATGCATTCTAGAATCTTGTATTAGTGTGACTATGTTGAGACTAATAAAACGATATTCACTGTCATTGATAAATATCGAGGGTTTTTTCAATTGAATATATTTTCAGGAAGGAATGACAAAAGGAAGTTGTTCATTATTTACACAATGAAACGGGACCCTGAAAAAAGAGTTAATTTTTTGACAGTTAAAATATGATTTTTTTCATGGCATTTAATCCCAGCTGGAGCATAGGGCTTAGATATATAAAGTGACAGTGGATATGTTTCTGCTGCTTAGACGTCAAGCGTCAAATCAAACGTTCCTTTTATATCTCGGCTAGTAAACTATGTAAGGTTTAAGTGTTTTTCAGCCAGGAGTCACTCACGAACCTTGTATGTTGTTGACAAGGAAGATTACCATTAAATCACACCGATGTAGATAGAGAGACAGGGGACTGAACCTGGGACTTCCAGCATGCAAATGAAGCGCTCTATCACTGAGCTGTATCCCCACACAAAATTTAATATAGACTAAAGCAAACTAAGTTTAGCTCAAAAAGGGCTTCGATTTCATGCATCTATTTCATCTCCATGATATTATCTGTGTCTGAATACCTTGATGGCAGGCAATTCTCCCTGAAAAATTTTAAACATCATAGACACTTACTAGCAAGTAGCTTCTCATACATACATATACAACATATATATCATTTCACTTTTCGTTGTATACTTCAGGTAAAGCAAGAGTGTTTGGAAAGAGTGACAAACTTGGAACATGAAAATTCAGTTCTTCAGCAACGTTATAAAGAACTTGAAGAACGAGTAAGTTGTTGGTGCTTCATCTTGTTTTAATTCTACTGATCAGTCAATTTGTTTTCGTTCCTGTATGTTTACAGATATTGCTACTCTTCATTTTCATGAATAGTATTAAGACACTTGAGTGTAACACTAACGATTCAAGCTGTAATGTTGGCCAAGAATTGACAGAAATTAGAATTTGTGCGTCGTGCGTCGGTGGTACAGCGGTTAGGACGCTCGCCAACCATGCATATGGTCCGGAATTCGATCCCGACGGATGCACTCCTTTACTCCTTTACCTAGCTAAGCCAGAATTAAACCTGGTAAAGAGAAAAGGTTGAGCATGAGGCTAGCAACCCCATCCTGTAAAAATTAACACTGCTACAGAAACTTCAAGCCACTAGCTTGAAGCCCTATGTTCCACTGGGAACGGGGAGGAACCAAAAAAAGGATTTGTGCGTCAGTGAATTCCGTCCCACTGGATGAATGGTCGACGGGTTTTCCTTTTAACATGAAGACCCTAAGTTCAATCTCAAGTGGAGTCATGGTTGCATGTTTCTGAAGCCTCTGAAACCAGAGTTTTCCAGTAAACATTAGTTTCCAGTTGGTATCTAAATGATTTCAGCTCGCTACTTAACCTGAAATGAGAGAACCACTTTCAGAGTTTCACAGTTTTCTTGCCTGCTGAATCCTCACTAAAATCTTCTCCTGATGACGTAACGAAAAGTTATATCTGCAGACTTAAACTTCGATCACACATGCTTCAGTGTACGACTTCAGAGGAAGGTAGATAAAATTATTCTAGTTTGGGCAGAAAATAACAAGTTCAACAAAATAAATTATACTTGTGAAGTCTAAACTAGGATTTATTCATGCATTTATGGAAGTACTAGGTTTGAAAACAATGCTTCGAACTATCGTATGTAGTGGACCAAAACGTATGAGGTTATAATAAACAAATTAATAGAGGTATAACTGCTATCAAACTAATACAATGTTTTGAGTAAACTAACAAGTGCTGTCTCACGCAGGGCTGTCGAGCAGAAACCCTGGTGAGGAGCGATGAGTTGGGTGTATGTCTGGGTGGGACATGGATGACAGCATCTGAAGAGCAAATTTAAGCTTATGGGCTGTCATGGAAAGGGATAGCAGAGAACTGAGTGCGATAAAGTAAGCCTCTGATGCCCTACGTTCCACTCGCAACACAAGGACCGAATAATAATCCAAAAGTCTAATAAATTCAAGTACTCAGCTTCATCAAATGCCTTCAGTATGGAGGGATATCAGGCTAAAAAGCAATTTGTGTAAACCAAGGCACAGTTATCGGTGCCATCAGTGTTTCACAGACAATAATAAACTCTAACTTTCAAGAGTTTGTTTGGAGGGATTTGATTTGTTTCAAGTTTGATCACGGATCGATATCAGTTAGAGAACCATTGGAAACCATAAGAGAGTACTAGAGAGCGGTTTCGTCCCACTTTGGGACTCATCTTCAGCACGTGTCCACCGGATTTCGATGCCCACTATTGACCGGTAACAAGACGAGGTCGCCTGGAGTTCTAGTGAGAAGTCATAACCAGTGGGGTTCACTCAGTCGGGAGTGAGGACAAATACTGAACGATGACAGTGGCTGGTGGTCTCGTTAAAATAGCCAATAGGTTGGAGTTATAATTCATTGGGTGTCCATTGAGTCTGCTTCAAGTGGCTAAACGGTCTACGAGCCTGCCTTGTTACCACGAGGTCCCGGATCCGAGCTCCTATAAGCCTTAAACTAGGATGAAACAGATGTCCACTACTCCATGCTGATTTCCAGTGGTTCTCTAACTGATATCGATCTGTGATCAAACTTAAAATAAACTTTAAGTATTTAAGTGAAATAAAGCTTCTCTTTTAGTGGGATTTTACTCTGACGATGTTATAGGGAAGGTTAATGTAAGTTTCTCAGTTACAACATGTTTCACCGAAAACACTTGTTTGACAAAACCATTCACTTTAGCTACAAATACATACTAGTTTACTGAAATGAATGGGAAGCATACAGCCATGGTAGTTATAGCCCACTGTGTTATTCTGTCGACGGCAGTTAGCAATACACTCTTTGATACACGTTTCGTTGTATCCCGGAGTTATCCGGTGGATGCATCTGCTTTACTGTCAGAAACAATGGCATTCTAGGCTTCAGTCTCACCGGTGATAAGTGACAAATAGAACAGAACCGGTCTCGTGGATTCCACTGTGATCCACCACGAAACAAATAACATCATCTTAAACTTCACTCCATACATGGATCTAACTGAGGGTTTCGGTCTAATATGCTTAATCTTCCTACGGGAAAGAAAAATTAACTTAAATTAACAGTTCATTGTGATTTGTATATCTCACATGAAGCATTATTATAGGAAAAGAAGTGTATTAACAGAAGTTATATACTGGTCCGTAAATCTACGAATTGTAGACAGCTCCTTTTCTCTCATCATATTCACTACATGAATTAAGTTTTTTATGACTTAATTAAAATGTTTTACAACATAGATTGGTCGTGTGGAATCGTTAAGTGTGTGCCTAAATGAAAGAAGACTGTGGCACGTCCACGTATACACACACTCACACACATACGCACAAATAAAGTGAACTGAAAAAGAAATGCAGAAAAATGAGATTATTAGGATTTATTTCATTAATCATATTGACATGTAAGATATGCACCAAAGAGTAAGTTTCTTTTCTTTTCAAGAAAAAGACGATAGCATATAAAAATGCAAAAGTGGGTGACTTGTCTGATACAAATATATTTGTGTACATTTGTGTACATGCCTGTTTCGCTAACCTGAATCGCGACGCTATATATATTTATCAGTGTCAAACCTTCTCCCTATTATTCTCCTCCAGTATATGTACGGTGTATATACATTTGTCCACGATTTCACTTGCTTCACTTCATAGTCTGAGAAATAATCGCAATAATATTTCACGTTGTGTATTATTCTAAAAATACTGAGAAAAAGTAGACACAGAATGGAATTTCCAAACAGATTATTTGATATCTTTTTTTCAGGGTAATGATTGCCATTCTTGATTGTGCTTTAAACAGTTTGATATTTGAAATCGTAGGTTAGTTTAATGTAAGGTAACCTAGTGATCATAATGTATATTTGATCGATAGACGTCTCATAATCAATAGCCTTAGATCATATCTACCATGGGAGGTTGGCTAACAGTGGGGCTCAGGACCAGCATTTCATGGGTATTTTGAGTCACTAACTTGCGGAATAAATCTTCAGAGTTAAAAGAAGGTGTTGATGTTAAGCTTCAGCCTCAGTGGAACCGACTTCAGGCAGTGATGCACGAACATCTAGCTGACTTGTCTCAAGCAGGATTATAAGCAATTAGTCCTAATCGAAAAATCATTCAGTTATTTATGCTGTCTCATCACTGTGTGTTGTGTCAAATAAACTTATCAAGTGTTAGCCTGAAGAGATTTGATTGGTTAAAAGTTTGGTCATGAGCTGACATAAGTTAGAGAACCACTGGAAAGCCAGCAGGGAGTACCAGACATATGTTTTGTCCCGGTTTAGGACACTTCATCGGCATGCATCCACCAGAATTTCAACCCAGAACCTTTCATATACAAGGCAGGCTCGTACAATATTCAACCACTGGAACCTGATCGCGAGATAAATTTATGCTATATGAAATTATATTTGATCATGGGACCTAAATCCCACCCACACATTAATCTATTGTCAGCCATCAACTGGTTAGCATGAAGTTATTTTACTGATATACAGTCAGCAGTGGAATCCAGGAGACACAATTCTCTCTGTCTGGAAGTAGTTGGCTCAAAGTACGTGAATCGGTAGTGCTTGATCTGATTCCCACTGAAACCTGTGACCAACTTTCAACGTTTGAAATAATGAGAACGCAATCACTGACTGAAGATGTCGTTGCGTCTAGTTGGAGGGTCCCAAACGGGACGAAACCTCCATTCTGGACTACAGTGCCGGCCACCATCAACCAAATAACTCTATGTCGAACTATAGAAGTAGTCGGAGGTAGTCGGCGTGTAAACAGAGACAGAGCAATGGACAGCAATGGAAAATCAATAAGTAAGAAACCGAAAATGACTTCAACGCATTAATCAACCACTGTTAGCCTTTAAAAATGTATTTCAACAGTTCTCTTTACTAAATTCTTTTTTGATTTGTTTTTATAAAAAAATAAAATCAAGGTGTTACCTCTGACAACATCACTGAATGAACAAGAATACCTCAAAGAATTCTTGAAATTTTTATGCACTTCTCAAATCAACGCAAATGTGAACTTAACAGAAACACAAAATGGTGATTCTAAGAATTCAGATGCAATTGAACAACTTACCAGTCTTTTACTTTACACAAATATTACTCAGAAAGTAAGTCACTTAGGCACTACCTTATCCGTTGATTAGATGCTATTTTAAGTTGTGTTTTCTCTTTAGCTACATTTCGGTTCGATTGTAATGTAACTATCAGACTGTCCTTTGAGGGGATAACGTTTAGGGGAGGACAAAAAACCAAGGCAGCAACTCCCAACAGTTTCATTCTAGAGCTCTAAAAATTGAGCTACAAAACGTTTTCCATTTTAACCAATGCAACATTGTCTTAAATGCCATGCAAATCAGAGTTCTTGCAAATTTCCAGCCTAATTCACTTATGGTTTTTAATTTGAGGCATGATCAAATCGAGTTAGAGGAGATGAGTCACTAAGTTCTTGAAATATCTCATGTTTTATTGAATGAAGTTGCCAACTATCAATATAGAATACATATATAACTTCGGCAATGCTTATCCATGACCATACCAGGAATCGAACCTATGACCTTCAGGTCACGAGACATACTCTTTGACCTCTCAGTCATCAGTGAATTTTAGCCTCTGCTAGTACTCGATATAGTGTTACTTCAAACCAGTTCTATCGGTGACATCCGCTTTACTCTAACATGGACTCCACCATCCCAAGTTATAATGACACTGATGTTTAGTGCCCCTTGGATTTGAGTAATCCATTTTGTTTGTTAATCAATCTTTATTGTTACTTGATTCTGTTGGTTGACTAGATATCAACATGTGTGACCATATAACTTCCCTTGTGTCTTCAGTGTGTGGCGACTGGAAGTGAAGGAATCGAGGAACGCCTTTCTTCTTAGAGGTTTTAAGTGTAAAATACTAGACATTTAGGTGATGGATGTATGCTGATTGAACTGTATCAGTCAAATTTACGATGTTTTTTGGTAGCCTTGATGACTTGCCATTGTGGTTAGAATTAATTGATCGGAGGTAGTGTGCAGGAATTCCAGGTTTCGTGCTTACTGATAGTCGTCAACAGACAATATCCCTAGTCCCCTAAAGTTACATCCAGAGGTGTAAATACTAATGTGATACAGAATGGTTTAACGAAAGCGAAAAGTCCTTCCGAAGTTTTGCATGAACAAAGTCACCGTAAAAGATAGAAAAGCTGCTAATAAAAAGCGGTGTTCTCACATAATCATATAAATCAACTGTCATGGTTCAAATATATTCATGGTTACATTTTCTAGGCTACCCTTAGATTAGTAAACTTCTATTTATAAGTGATAATTAAATGATATAACGGAACTTTTGGGCACGCATGTCATGATTCGAGACGGCAGTCTTCGGTTGCTTGACTGGCGTTTTAACAGCTGATCTACTTAGTTTGTGTATTTATTAAGATGTTTATTAGACGACAACGTATAAGTTCATAGAATCAGAAAGATTCAGAAAATAAAGTTTAAATGAACGCAAATAAATTCAAATCTAGTAGTTCTTTTTGTGTATCAAATCGGACTTTCAGTATTCACCCTTGAGTGACATTTTATCAGTCAAGTGTACATTATCATACTACAGCAAAATGACAATGGAATGAAACAGTATATCCGTCACGCAATAATCACAGAGCTTCCTGCAAATATGAAGACGCATATATGAAGCCCAATAATGTTTTATATTCATTAAGAATACTGTAATAGATCTTAGCTAGCCTCCTTTGATTTGAAGTTCACATTGTTTATGACACTTCTATACCTAGCTGATATAAAGATGAATTTTCTTGATAACTTTAAAACAAAATAAGAATGGTTTAATTCGGGACATTACTTCAATACATATTACAGAATTTTCAGCACATTTAAATTTGCAAAATATCTGCGCTTTGTGAAGGATCTTTAAGTAAAATAGTTTTCGGCGGTACATAGTATGGTGTTGTGTCGTTCCATATGTAGTTATTTTTAATAATAATAATCTACTTTATTCCAAAAACAGTACTTATAATACAGAATGGAATTCTCAGCATTTGTCACAATATTGCATCTGATTTACTCAAAATATATATATGAAATTAAAAATTAAAACAAAATTAATCGGAGGAATTTTTCCACATTTACGACACAATTATTAGATATAATAATAATAACAGTGAGTTTGTTTCAAACGGTATTGTCGATTCAGTTTGGAAACTTAAGCATGTTATGGATTATTGGGTCTAATGTTCTGTAGATATAGTATAGTGAGGGGAAATACAAAATTAACAGTTATAATACAGCTTAAAATTATGTCCACACTTATGAAAAATAAAATAAACAAAACGAAAAAATTGAGAGGATTATAAATATAAGAAATACAATAACAATAAAGAATGATGCTTTAAGGATGAAGGAAATGGTTTATTTAGTGGTGCTAAGAAGGTTAGTTAGTTCATGCCTGACACTATTTTCATCACATAAAGTACGTGCTAAATGTGGCATAGTGGAATTTTTATACTTAGACGTACGTGCATAAATTCTTCTGAAAAGACTTCTTGTTTTACCTGAGGAGACACAAGGTTGGAGCTGTGGGTAGAGTGGGTGCTCAGAATTTGACAAAATTTCTTTAGCGAATTTGTTGCATGACATCAAGTGCCTATCAGTGACAATGTCAACGATATGGCCCAATGGGATACCTCTCGCCTTACTGGCTGACAGTCTTCAGAGTTCTACGAAGTATGACATAGTCCTTTTTAAGCAATCCAGGAAAGAATAAGGGTGAACAATAAAGAAGAATAGGAGTTATTAAAAAGACAATTGCTGCGAAGAAAATTTTCTTTTCGACGAAGTCCAACTCCTATGACCCAATGTGTATATTCCGTGATTTGAAAAGAAGAATAGGTAAAATACACGAGTTGATAAACTGTTAGAGAAGTGGTTGGGCTAAACCTGAGTGCCTTAACTTCCTAATGTAAAAGGTCAGACGAAATATTCTTTTAGAAATCGCTAAGACATGGGAAGACCAGGATAGGTCAGAAGAGAGAATTAATCCAAGATACTTAACTTCAGACTTGGCTTCTATATCAGTATCATCGATTTTGCAAGGGTCATAGGAACCAACGGCTTCATTTAACTTTCGTTTACATAGGAAACTGAAATTAACAGTCTGAGATTTGGAAGGATTTAGTTTAAGGCCGTTATATCCAGTCTTCTAAAATATTTTTCTCACATTCTATTCGAAAAATGCTCTGCTCGTGTACGAGTTCATATAGCTACCAAATCGCATTAATTAGATGGTTAAAACAGTAAACAAATGGAAATTCAAGTTGCCCGATGATTTAATCAACCCGCCTGTAAAGTTTCAGTTGGTTTTCTACTTAAATAAATTAGAAAAAGTTAGTTTAAATCGCAGTCAACTGGTTCTCTAGTCCTCCTAGTAGTGAAATGTTTTTTTTAAAAATAATTACGTTATTTAAATTTATATTGCTCATTGTTTACAAATCTACTCACTTGTATATTTTTATCTTTAGGATATTCTTATGAACTGTCATCAATTACATCAAAGAGTAGCTCAACTAGAACAAATCAATTCTATTTTATGCTCCATCATTTGTGATGGTGGATTTATTTCACCGCTGGATAAAATTCGTACAACAGATTATGGTAATTCCTCTTCGAATGAAACTCAGACAACAGGTGAAGAACAATCAACTCCAGGGAATACAAGAACACATTTAAAACTATCAGATATATTCTGTAAAATAAATGATTCATTAAAATCTTTTGGAATATCAAGTCACTCTGCATCACATTCCTATTTTCATGATTCTATAAAAGAAAATCATGAGTTGCAAAAAGCCTTTCTACCTGTACATACTACTGATACTACTGAAATGAATACAGTAAATGACTCTAATAACAATAATACTAATTTATTTCATTCCACGCTAAATTCACTGAATAATTCCCCGACAAGACAATCTACTAGTAGTAATAACAACACTGTTAATGTACAGAATCTTTCACATGATTATCACGGATACACTTATCCAACCAACTGTACAATTCAAAATACTGGTCTGTATTTAAATAAAGATTTAACTGAATCATGTTCGAGTGCATTCACCAGTGGTCTTCAGTTGAACAAGGTAATTACATTTGTGTTTTTTTTTAATCTGTATTCCTCGTGACTGCTAAATACATTTAAGAGAGAGAGAGAAGGAGATAAGGAGACAGAGAGTTTGTGTGTGACTTCCAACTGACCTACTCGTAAACTTCGACTCAGTCTATCAGCTGGCTGTAAGCCTGCGAACGAAGAGGAAAGCTGATAGTGATACTAGCAGCCCCATGTTCCACTCGATACTCTAGAAACTGAAGAAAAATAATTAAGGTTAATATAGCGGCACCCAACTTACATTCTTGCTTCTGTTAGCAATGTAAACTTATCTGAACCTTGAAAAATATAAAAAATCTCAGCGTTTTCCTAGTCTAAGCTTTTTGGATAAATATGTAAACTTACAGTAATGTTGAAAATAATCCAAGACTGTTCTTGAAGTCATGCGCGACACTTGAAGGAATAAAGGTTCAAAGTAATCGTTGAAATAATCAAAAAGAGTAATGAGAATATAAGGATTATTGTATGCATTCGCTAAAATATGTTTAAATAAAGCAAGAACAACAGTGGTTTGTGCAGAATAATATGGTACCATCATTTATTTCGTCGGCTTCTCATCAGCTGCTTACAGCCCAAATAAATTGTGAGGTTCACGTACAGAAAAGTTTTAACATACTTGCAAATTTTACATGTTGTCAGTTGACAGAAAGTTTCACAATTAGGGAAAAGTGCTCAGAAAATTGTGCTTATATAGTTTTTACACAGGCAGTTCAAGTCAAAATAAATGTGTGCATACAATGGTAAAGGACTTACGTAATAAAGACGGGGGGTGAATAAGATGATGAGTAACTAATAAATTTGGTAACGATGTACTGAGTTCAAATCACGTCATAGAAACAAGAGACAAGCAATATTACAGATTATAAAAAAGAGGGGTGAGGTTAAAGAGAAATACTACGTAATCAAAGTAGAGAATAAAGACATCCAGTTACCATGGCAAGGAAAGACTAATAACTGCTTCTTTCTGAACACATAAATCTGGTTTGAAGCGTTTGATAGAAATTACTTCGGCAAACTTGAGGAGAATTGAGCTCCTTTGTCTATTGATAATTTTAAAGGATTTCGCTATTTCCACCTCATGACCCGCGTCGAAGAGATGCCTGACGATGGCACTATTTAAAGCATTTGTTCCCTTTAGACATAAGCTTTTTGGTACATGTTCAGAAAATCGTAGATATGCCCTTCTTTCTGTCCTTCCAATGTAACTGCTCCCGCAGATACATGTAAATTTATATATACAGTTGGAGTTAACATGAGAAGGATATCTATCGATTTTTGATTGCACCAAAGAGCAAGTTGTTCGACAGATGGGAACGAGCTTAGCTGCAGGATGGGCTATAGCTAGTGATGTACTCAGCCTTCTGTTGATCATCGCTGTAATGTTTTCACCTTTATAATCAAGCTGAAAGTAGATTGACTTTTCTTTTCACTGTGATTTGTTTTACATTTTTGACTTTGTTTATGTAATCACTTAGCGATTGTTTTTTTTTGAAAACACTATGGCATAATAATGACAGTCATTACAGTCAAATAGAAGAATTTCAAAGTGCAGCAAAACAATGGCTATACTTCTATATTGCAAACACTCAGTGCAATAGTGCAAGCATCAGGATGTGCATCTCTGGTTTAATTGTAGCATGTTAGCTAGACAAGAGAAAAGTTCAAGTTCTAGTGAAGGCAGACATACTCCGACAGCTAGCCTAGTTTCCTAGTCGGTGATAAATCTAGAAAAGAGAAGTTTAAGTGTGATGCTAGCGAACTCACTACATAAAAATAACACCGTTGCTACTGGAAGTTTAGAACTTATAGCTTAAATATGAGATGCGATATGATTTATTTTTAACCTTTTGGTGTTTTATTAACATTATTTGACAGAATGTACCGTATGGTATAATCCATGAGACGCATTTCTTTCTATTCAGGTTTTTTTAACAGTATATATTTGAATTCCAATGGCCATCAAAAACCAATAGATATTTATTGAAACTCTTTTATTGTTGTGTATTGCGCAAGAGATGATTCATAGAGTTTAATAGCTTGGCATATAAATCCTAGCTGTTGAAATTTAGGTGAGCTTCTTTCGCGTCTCAAAGGCAACGTCACTATTTTATTGAGATGAAGATACATCCTTGGGATGATTCAAAACTAGGACGGAATACCTATCCTGACATTCAAACCTAGTCAGCATATGTCAAATAAAGTTGATATAAAATCAAAAGCGCTATTCAAATGTTTGTCTTAACAGTCTATATTTCAACTAAAATTGATCGTTTTAGTTCGGTGAAACCAAACAAGGAAAGATTAAAACGTTAGTTGGGTTTTAGTTGATTTCTAGTTAGACTTTGTGACAAACTCATACAAGTTAGATGACCACTGGAAACCGGATTATTTTGGGCAGATTTTCCGCTATGACTTGAGGCTCTTCAGCTTTCTCATGATCCATAATATTCAATTGCTCTCTAAATAATGTCAGCTCAAGAAGAAATCTAGCCTAAAATTTAACGTTTGTTGAAATAACTATTGTAAATTTCGCTTTGGTTAATTTTACAGCATCAGAATGCTAGGTTGCTAGTACAAGTGTTTCTACAGTACATTGCAGTTAACATGACTATGTTTGTTTTACAGCGGCTGACAATGGAGTCCAGGACGTGCTTGCCATCCTATTTCTGACTTAGGTGGATACAACTTTGTCGTTAGATATCCACTAGGCATTTAAATTGAGGAGTTCTAGTTTCGATTCCTACAGGTGACACAATCACTCACTGGGAATGCAGATACATCCAACTGATGATCCCTAAGTTAAAGGAAACTCAAATTCTAGGATCCGTTGCTAGCCGTCATTAACCAAACAAAATAAAAAAAGGGTTATATTTCTTGTACAGCCAGATTATTAGCTTCTTAGTTTTTTACGCAGAATGACGGTTTGTGAAGAATAAGATGCTATCATCTTTTATTTCGTCGGTTTCTCATCAGCTGTGTGAAGTCTAAAGAAATAATTAAGTATATATAGAGAACAATTTTAACATATTTGCAAATGTTACATGATGTCAGTTGACAGGAAACTCTAAATCGGATAAACAGTGTTCAGAAATTGGGCTAATCTAGCTGATACATAGAAATTTCTTACTTGGGTCTTCACTTCAAGCTCTTTGGTTTCGAATTAATTCATACAACTGTTGAATGAGAATACGCTAGCTGGATGCGTATAACTACTCACTAAAAGGCTCACACACCATTTGAAACTCTGTTTGTGTCTCTCAAATTTACCATGATGTATGGGAGACCTTTTTATTATCACCTCCACTGTAGCAACGATTTACTACTACAAGCAGCAGTGTGGTCCATTTTACGCTTTCTGATGTCTGTTCATTAATCCCACTTGATATTTTGGAATAAAAGCAAGATTTAAGACTGATAAAATGTGAAAATGCTTACTGCAAAATTAAAGTTTATAATATTCATGAACTTAGACGCTTGTTTCACAGCTTAGATGACTGAGAATGAAAATCTCTAGAAGCAAGTAAGATATACACTCAAAACTAAGCTGACCACTTTTGTTACTATCAATAATTTTTAGCCCTGGTTATGAAAGTATTTCTATTACTCAAGCTTACAAGTACATATTGAGATGTAGAGTAACTGCCTTCCTAGTAAAACATTCGGCTGGAGGTGTTTGAAGTTTCAATAGTGGAGTTGCTAACCTCATGCCCGACCTTCCACTTTTCTCCGACCAGCTACCTGCCGGCAATATAAGCGAGATTTAGGAGTATATCGGTGCAGAATCCAATCTGGACCCTGTGTTTAGTTGGTAAATAGCTGCTTACTTTGTGAACTCTTTCAAAAATGTTTAAACTAAGAAAGATTCCTATTGATAACGTTTCAAAGCAACCATGCCTACTTGTCAGTTGAGCACTCATTATAATTGAGCACAACTATAAAATTATAGCCTCATTAATTGCTTTAAAGTATTAATCACAGCGAAAAGTACAAAAATCTATCCCTGAATGTCAATCGCAGCTAGGAGCATGGGCACATACCGCTGGAGACTCCTAAACTAGGACGAAACAGAGCTGTTCAACACCTCTTCATTTCCAGTGATTCCCTAATTGTTGTTGTCGTTGTTCGGTGACAAAATCCAACTTGAAGTTATATCCCCTACTGAAAAAAATCAACGCTATTCACTAAAACGTTTATACAAATATAAATCAAATTATTCATCGATTAACAAGTAGCGATCATATGACTAATTTTCACATCAACAGAAAATTTCCCACTGTTCAGTTTTGTTTATTATAATATATTTGACAAAAATATAGTAACATAAATTTTTAATAATTGGTCAAATAGGTGGAAGTTGTACTTGTAGTGAATTTCGCTTGCATCACTTTTTCCCAAACCACTAATGATTTCTTATCCCCGTGATCACCTGATGATCACCTTATAAATTCTGCCTTGTTTTCAATTGATTTTTTCCCTTATTATAGAATACACGATCACATAATATACAAGAGAAAAATTCAATTACAGGCGAATGGATACGATCCAAATCTTTACCCGTACTAGTAACAAATTCTCAACAAACAAATACTGAGAATGAATCTTGTTTACGGACAAATTCGCTTACACAACTTATCCATTTACCAGCCTTATTCCCTATCACCTCTTATCCAATTAAACGTGTCACTGAACAAATGATGCTACTGTCAGAGAATTTACTAAAGTCTGAAACAGAATTTGACATTCTCAAGTCATCGCAGCATCTAAATCTTCCATGTGGAGGACATTTAACCAATGATCTAATTCCTAATAATACACAACAGAATACAACAGTATGGCTTGATAAACCCTTACCAAAAGGTTGGATACAATTACAAAATCTACCGTATAGTGGTGGACTACAACGTGAAACTATCGGTACGCATAGTCATATGATACTTGGAGCAAGAAGTTTACCATTGTTGTTTAACAAACCAATTGAAAGCTGGAAAAAAGCATCAACGACGACTATTTCGTCGTCACCATTATCAGTGGCATCAGGTGAAAATTATCGCGTGAATTCACTTGAACGTGTACATTCATTTCGTAACCTACACTCAAATGGATTTCATCATTTGAAGACAATTATAGAAGTAGATTCTGGACCACCGAGTTTTCATGAATTACTTTCACAGAGTGTTCATTCTAATCATAATGATAATCATATTAATAAACATGAAAGTCAGAATCACAATAATAATAATATTAATAATAATTCACCACATGATCCTGAAAAAGTTGACTCTACTGCATCACCGAATGTGTATATCTCACCAAATCATAGTATTGAATTTCTTCCAAATTCAAGACAAATATTATGTCGGTGAGTTTTAAGTGTCTTGTTCTTTTGTTTTTTTTTAATTGACTAAAAGATGTCACTCGGTTAATGTCAGGATGCTCACTGATGTTTAAAAATATGAACGCTGGATGGATGCCGGTTCATCCGGCTGAAAAGTGCAGAGTAGAACGAAACACGCGCCCCGAATTCCATTACTAGCCACTATCATACCAAAGATGTCATGTAAGCCATCAAATACCTTTGAAGCGTCTGCATTTAGAGGCAAAATGTCCACTATAAATCAGCCAGAGGGAAATTCACCAGGTTCGAACGCCGGTGGGTGCGTACTACTGAAGAGTCTCAAACCAAGACGAAAAAACAATTGGTTTTCCAGTGGTTCGTCTATGAATGATGTCAGCTCATGATGAAATCCTCGAACCAATCAAACAAAATCCCTGTAAAACCAATGCCTGGAAATTCAAATCCATTTACGCATGTAACATTTGTTAAAAGAGTACACATTTGGTAGTCTTGTAGAGTTCTACGCATTGGGCATTTATTAAAATTTTATTAAATTAATATTAAACGACTCATTAATAGACAATGAATATATATTTTCGATAAATTCGCCATCAGTTTCCACATTTAAATGACCATAATACTTAAGGAATATTGTCATTAATAACATTAATGGTTTAAATTTAACGTAATGAGTAGTGAAGAAAATAAAAGACAGATTCAGCGAAGAAAATTTTCTTTATCGACGAAATCATCTTCAGAGGCTGTACAATCGTATTTATACTTACAAAAATATATAGTGGTCTATTATCGAGCAATAGGGGGTGACATAATTGATATAATTACTCAGAAGTGGCTTTAGAAGTGAAAATTAGAAGTTGAAAATTATGTGGTACTGAAGGGCAAAAAGATAGAAATTTGATAAGGTTAAAATTGCTATTAAGTGAGAATAAAGGTATTTGACTTTCAATTTAACAAGTGTGAAGAGGGTGTGAAAATATACAAAAGGAGCATATGAGAGTGATAATAGTGAATTAATTGTTAAAGCAAAAACTAACTAAAAGTGAAATTAGAATGAAAAGAAAAAATCAAAATATATTTTATTTACAAGGAACGATTAGTGAAGAGGTTAAGACCAAGGTAGAATAAGAGACTGGACAAACTTTTTCTATATACAGAGTTCAGGGTTGTGTTGATGAATTGCTAGAGCCTCCGCCATACACAAAAGCCGAAACCTGACGCCCTTTGTACCATTTGGCTTCACTTTGTAGATGATCTTGAAAGACGATTCTGGTGGAGCTACGTGGCCTGAGTTCACCAAATACTCGAGAATTGAGCTAGTAATTGTCTTACATTGTCCCTTTGCTAACCATGCCGGATAATGCTCAGAGATGCGTTTGGAAAGCGTGCGCTTTGTGCGGCCAATATAACTAGCTCCACACAAGCAAGTGAATTTATAAACACACATTGAGGTGGCCCAAAGCGGCAGTTTATCCTTCACACACGCGTTGATCATTTGTCGGCTGTAGAAGTTGATACGTAGCTCAGCCATGAAGAAGGCTTTCCTCAGTGATCTGCATAAGCGATTCTTCAGGATCTCAGCTGCGGTATCACCTTTAAATTCAACACTCATAAACAACAGTTTCTTCGCCACCGTCTGTATTCTTTCAGGTTTTTCCTTTGGCTTCATGTTTTTCTCGATAAATCTTGGAGGATATCCATTCTCTATGAGGACTTGTCTGAGTTGCTCCAGTTCCCCAACGATTGTATCACTTGAACATATCCTCCTTATTCTTGAGGATAAGGAATGGATCAGATTTCTCTTTCTTCTCAAAGGAACCCAGCTATGGAAATTTGTGTACTGACCATAGGTTTCCTGCAGATCGATCTTTGAAGAGAACCATCCGATCTCCTCTTTAGAAAAACATCCAAAAAATGTAATTCCGAGTTATTCTCTAATTTTCACTTCTAAAGCCACTTCTGAGTAATTATATCAATTATGTCACCCCCTATTACTCAATAATAGACCACTATATATTTTTGTAAGTATAAATACGATTGTACAGCCTCTGAAGATGATTTCGTCGATAAAGAAAATTTTCTTCGCTGAATCTGTCTTTTATTTTCTTCATGACTCAATGGGTATTTTCGGTAATGAATAGTGTCGACAGACCAAAGTTCAAAAGCATCAGTAAGAGAGAGAGAGAGATAATATGCATTAGTATAACACTAAAATGAGTATCAGATAAATCAAAGGAAAGTAAAAAAGGATATATGAATTTTTGTGTTACATAACAGACTAGGGAGGAAGTATTTCTTTCATATGTGGTGCTCCAGTTGATTTAAGCGAATTGAAATGACATTCATTCGCTGTTTGGAATCCCCAATATCCGACAGATGATACAGAGACTCTTCAGTGCTATCTTTGTGAGCTGTTTGGACGAGGTGATCTTATAAATAGAAATGTTGATGGTGTTAACGACGCTTTCATTTAACCATTCAGTCAGGTGATCCAGAGCGTGAAAAATAAGTTCCCAGAGCAACAGCCAATATAACTGTCTTCACAGGAGCATTTGATCTGATAGATACAATTAGTGATAGCTAGCTTAGGTACTTCATCTTTCTTCTGAGTAGTCACAACCAGCTGTGCGGAAAATATAAGCTGCAAATTAGAGGCACTGAACGTTCTTTGAGATCGATTTTCTTGACTCGGTTATTATTTCGCGAGCCTGAATAGCTCAGTGGTAACGTCTCTGACTGCAGCACTGGGTGACGCGGGTTCGAATCTCAGAAGCTACATCAGTTCCTACAAGGTTGCAGATACGCCTTGCTGATGAGCACCAACTAGCACGAAACCTAGGTCAAAGGCTTCCTGTCGATTGCCTCCAACCACCTAATACCAACAATTCATAGTGCACCGTAATGGCGAGCCACCTAGCATGGTGGCCACATTGCAAGCATGACTGATAGAATTCAGTATGCACCGAAGATAGGACTAGACACATTACACTAGTTACTGACTAGTGTGCAATCAAATACAGAGGCTGCTTGTTGACAGATAAAGAAGAATTCGTTTCTACTGTCTTGACCATGTGTTTAGTAATGAGTTTTCAGGGTGGTTGTTTTCAATTATCGTGTCATATACAACTTTAGATCCGTCTTTAATCTCATCTTCTGAACAAACTGCTCTGACCTTATAACTAAGGGTTTTTACCAAATTTCTTTTATACCGGAATGGAAGAACAAATCTGTGAAAATGTGTAAATTGACCGGTTCAAGTACTTTTGTCATAAAAGTTCCTTTTTATGCCACCGTCCAACTAGTATTGTTAGTAGGACGTCTAAAAACGCAATTTTACTTTGGAATTCTTCTTCACAAGTGAATTATTATGGCTATATAAATGTAGAACCTTATGACGAATTTATCGAAAAGAATGTCTTTTGTTTAGTTTAGAAAGATGAAAAGATAAACAAATATTCTCAAGAATGACTTCATTTAGAGAACCACTGAAAATCAAGGAGTACTTGATAGGTGTTTCGTCCTTGTCTAGGACTCTTCAATATTACAGACCTATGAATTTATCAGGGATCGAACTCAAGAACTTCAGATTGCACAGAAAGCTCGTAGACCCTTCAGTCACTGGGGTGGAGTTTTAACTTCTGCCGATTTGCGATTTTCAGCTGCTCTGCCAAACAATGTCACACCCAACGTCGTAGACCCCATTGGTGACAACTTCCGACTAGAACTTTAAGCAATTTCATCCTACAGTCAGTCTCTAGTGAATGGTCTTCGAGCTCGCTCTGCGAACTGAAGGTTCTTAGTTCGATCCCTATTGACATCGTGGGCACATACGATTGACGAGTCCCAAACAAGGATGAAACAGCTCTCCAATACTCCATGGTCCTCAGTGACACCCTAATTGATGTTAATTCACAATCAATAACTCAATAATTCTCCTTATAACATTACGAACACAATATTTAGCGAAGAGAATCTTTTCAGCTAATTCATTATCAGGCTGTATATCATATATATGTATATGTATTTATATTTATAGTTTTCAATAAATTGTATTACGTGAGGAAATTTAAACAAAGGTGTGTTTACTTAAAATAATAATATGAAATGTGAGAAAATGTATGCAATTACAATCATTGTTCAATATCAAGCGATAAGATAAATAATCTCAAGATATATTTCATCAGAAACAAACGTCAGCTAGAGATCACTGAAAAGCAGCCCCTAGGTTCAATCCCTGGTGAAGTCGTGCGTGAAGAGGCCTAAATTAGAAAGAAACAGGTATCTAGTACTTCTTGGAATTCAATGATGTCTGGCTGATGTTTGTCTGTGATGAAATCTACATTGAAATTAATCTAAATCCCTACAAAAGCTAATAATCTACAACAAGTAATATCGAATATAAAATGGCGTGCGACGGTGGCGCAGCGACAGAATGCTCGCCAACCACGCAGGTGATCCAAGGTTCATTCCCCGGCGGACTTACTCCTTCACCTCGCTAAGCCAGTAATAAGACTGGTAAATAGGGAAAGCTGGGTATGAGACTGGCAAACACATCCCTTAAAAGTAAGTACCATTGCCAGCGAAACTTCAAAACTCTAGCTTGAAGCCCTATGTCTCACTGGGAACGTAAAGGCATAAAATAATAATATAAAATGATTCACAGAATGTATAGTTCATGGGAAGACATGTAAAATTAATACAGTTGGTAGGATCACGGTGTGTGTAGGTAAATACAAAATTACGCAAAGTGGAGAGAAGCTTGTAAGATAAAACTTAAAATTGCAAATTAATAAATGGGATGAGGGAAATAATACCGTGCGTGCACTGTTCAAAGCGAAGATAAAAAATAATAACAACCGCAGCAGATAAGGGAAAGTGCACAGATTAAATAAACAAAACAATAAACAAATTTCTATCCCGCTATGGCCAAGGTAAAAAAATATGGACTGTATATACTTCTTTTGCACACAAACCTCTAGATTAAATTCATGAATGAAAAAGACATCAACTGTCTTAAGAAGCTTAGAACGTAGGAAACGCAGCAAGTTAGCATGAATTCGATAGATGATCTGAAAAACATGGTCACGGTTGATAGAGTGACAGCAGTTTATCAAGTGTTCTAAAATAGAGTTTCACACGCTCATACTTTCTCCCTTGTAAAACTATGCTGGAATATGTTCTCGTATCAGTGATGATAGCATTCTGTAGCTACAGCTGATGTACATCACCACATGAGACCAGGTGAAGTGATAGTGCACATGGAGATGGCCAGACAAGAGAGCTTATCTTCAAAAGAGACAGACAACAGCTCACGGCTGATGATGGTCAGTCAGAGTTTTACAGTAAGGAACGTCTTACTGACTTATTTAGAAAGATGATTTCTGCTTATATCTGAAGGCTGATCGCCTCTGAATTCCAAATTCATGAAGATGGCTTACTTTGGAACTGAATCAGTCACCATTTTGGACTGTTTATCTTTATCGCCAATAAATTGGTTCGCGTAACCGTATTCTGTCAATATGGGTTTTAGGAAGGAGAGTTCTTAGACAACGCAATGACAACTAAACGTATTCCTTATCCTTCAAGCAGAGAAATGAATGAATTTCCTGGAGATAGGCGTTTCCAAAGAATCATAATGTTAAACGATTTGCCAAGTGTCGTTCAAATGTTAGAGATATCAGTAACAGTCTCATCAAATAATAAATAGCTTGAAAACCATCTGGTCGATTCTGTGTTATTTTCACCATAATATATAGACTTGTAATGTCATTCTCGCAACTACATGTGTTTAGGTATTATTATTATTAGTTCCTTTAATTCCTAGAGGAACATAGGGCTTCAGCCATGAGTCTCCATTGCGTTCGGTTCTCTGCTAGAGTCTTCACATGGCTCCAAGTCTGCCCACACGTTTTCATATCCTCTACACATCACCTCTTCCAAGTCACCCACCCTCGCACTGACGGCCAACTCGTCTCTACCCTTTCGGGTTCCACTCGTGCAATGGCTTGTCTAGTGATGTCACTTGATGGATTGTTTCCTCAGAGTATGGCCAGCCAATCCATCTCCCTCCATTTCTTCCTGCCTATTTGTTTCACAATCGGTTCCCGCTGTGTTGGTTCGCTCATTGCCAGAGATCCCTGCCTGTTGCTGATCTTTTCTGGCCGACTGGCCATCTGATCTTGAGTGGTATTGAGCGAAGACAACTGTTAATGAAGGTCTGTAGTTTGTTTGAGATGCTCTTTATGACGCGCTGGTCAAGTCTCTGATCCGTATAGTGAGTAGCACTGACTTCACATTGGAGTTGAAAATCCGGATCTTATTTTTGATGGTGAGTGTTGTTGACCTCCACACAGACTTGAGAGTAGTGAAAGCTTGTCTTGCTTTTCCCGATTCTTGCTTTGATATCCTCGTCAGTCCCGTTCTCGTGCAGTTGAAACGATGCTTCCGACATAGGTAAAAGGGGTTGTTTCTTTCAGGTTCCTCCCATTTATGCTGGATGATTGTTGTCTGTTGTTGTTGTTGTTGCTGTTGGTGGTGTTGCCCAGGAATCTTCATCACCTCTGTTTTCTCTATGTTCACCTGAAGTCCTATCCTCTCTGGATGCTTCTTCTGCCAACTTGTTGCTTTTCGCTTGCATATCTTCCACTTTGTGGGAAATCAGACATATGTCATCATCGGCGAAGTCCAGATCCTCCAAGTTTTTTGTGAGTCCTTTTCATGCCTGTTTCCTCATTGCCCGCTGTTTGTCGCATTATCCAGTCTACTGAAATCAGGAAAATCATTGGCGATAGTAGGCAGCCAGCTTGTCTTACTCCTGTCCTCACTTCGAAGGATTCCGTAAGTTTAGGTATACCATCTGATTTGTATTAAAAAAAAAATGAATAAATCTTCCGCGTTTCTATCGGTTATTAGGCAATTAGATGATTAGTAATAGAGGAAAGTAAACAAATAGTAAAGAGGAATAACTCATTTGAATACCATCCACACAACACAGAGTGCTTCATTTCATAACGACGTTTTACAAAGTGCACTGGCAGTTGACAGTGGTCATTTACTTGTTTCATAGGAATTAACTAATGTACATAGAATGAATGAACTTCATATCAGTAAATTATTAATGAAAACATGATTTATTCAACAAAATTAATTAATTAAACAGTAATAGAAATAATAATAACAATAATAAATAATAAGGATAATTACATGTAATTATACATAAACTGTGCTTCAGAATGGTCACTTTTAAGCACTTAGTTCATACATATATATGGGATTAACTTGACTGCTAGTACCAAGTTAGGGTAAAATGGCAGTACGATGAGTTTCTTATGTATACAATTTGAATACAGAAAATTTGTAATCACAAGATAATTTATTTATTTATTTTTTTTTGATAATTATGAATGTGATTTAATGACCTACCGCTGTGAAAGAAAATACCCACGCGTATCTGAAATAAATAACATTAGGAACACATAAGTCAGCACAGAGGTCTCTTCTCATGACTTCACTTCAAAGTTGTACAGTTATTTAGGCGTTTATATATATGCAATGTTAGACGACAGCTTATGACTTTAGTTAATAAAAGGAGTGCAACAAAATGTTTTCGAACACATAACTTAGGTTTGTGCCCATGTATAGCTAGAGCTTCAGCTATGCATAAGTGCAGGAAACGTAGGCTATTTGAGCGATTGGATTTGGTCCCGAAAATAACTTTGAAGGATAAATCACGTGTGGTGGGCTGAATGACCTGACTCCATAAAGTGTTCACAAATTGAAGAATTCGTCGTTCTATGCTCAACTTTCATTTACCAAAACCGGGTAGTGTTCTCCGTAAACGCGTAGCTGAACACTACCCGGTTTTGGTAAATGAAAGTTGAGCATAGAACGACGAATTCTTCAATTTGTGAACACTTTATGGAGTCAGGTCATTCAGCCCACCACACGTGATTTATCCTTCAAAGTTATTTTCGGGACCAAATCCAATCACTCAAAAAGCCTACGTATTCTCCAACTGTGACCTTAGTTGTCAATTAACATTGTATATATAAACGCCTAAATAGCTGTACAGCTTTGAAATGGATTTACGAGCAGAGGTGTGTTTGTTAACTTTTGAGTTCTTGACTCCATCACATGAGAATTGTTCATTTCTTGATACCATATAATTATTATTATTCCCTTGCGTTTTGAGTAGAACATATGGCTTCAGCAGTATACCTTTATCCTTTTATTCTCTTCCCTGCAGTCCTCTTAATCTAGCTCCATAATTGCCCATAAGCTCTCATCTCCTCCTCACATGATCTTCTCCATGTCAATCTCGATCCAAAAGCCCACTTTGTCGCCTTACATTCGGATTCCACCTAGGAGCCTTCCTGCCACGTGATGTCACTTAGCGGTCTACCTAACATGTATCCTGTCCATCTCTAATTTCTTCGGCATATTTTTTGGCCAATAGGTTCTTGATTGGTTCACTACCCTGCTGCAGAGTTCCTCACTGGTAATTTTTTGAGGTCGTCAGATCTTTAGTAAGGAGAGAAGGCAAACAACTGTTGATGAAAGTTCGAAACCTGTTCACTGGCACCAAATATCTTCTACCCAATGATGTCTAAATTTCGGTTGGAGTTTTTTGACTCTGTGAGGAAATATACACTGTAAATATCTCGAGAGCGTCAAAAATGTTTAAAGGGATAGTTGAGTAAATCCCTGTCTTATTTTAGTACTACAAGTTGTTGAAAAATTTCATTTTTATCCATTACACTTATCCATCTTGCTTTCATTTTTGATTATTTTTTTTTTTTAAATAGAGACCAAAAACTACGCTACCACTATCCACTTCGATCTGCTGTGCTTGGTTCTAATCCAGAGGCATCAAATCACTTCCACATACCGAAAAGTTACGATCTTGAAACTCAAACAAACTATCATGATGCTTTTCGAAAACTACGAAATGCACGTAAAAATTTAAGATTTGGTGTTTTCAGTGATACAGAACTACTGACAGGGAAATTTACAATCACATCAACGGATGATTCAGCTATTGATAGCGGTGATGAGGATTTTCACAGTTCAGTTGATTCATTACATGTTAAAAGTTTTTTAACAAAATCTGAGGTGAAAACAACAACATCGTGTTTGACAACCACTGCAGCACAAAATAACTGTCAGAATAATCGTATCATTCCATCTATTTATGCCAGTGGTAGTAATTGTAATTTAAGTTGTAAGTCAGATATACCACTAACAAATGGTGATATAAATGAAGTCAAGGGAGCAGAAGACAGTCAGTATGCTCATACGGAACATGAGTTAAACACCTCGCATGTACAGAATCAAGGAGAGTGTAACAACTCATTGAAAAATATCCCCAATGGAAAACATGACATCGAACATGACAGGAAACAGGTGAGCCAATAACTGCATTTTATCTTTTGAGTTATGACTATTTTTTTTGATTACAGCTTGATTCCACACCGTATTTTTCGGTACACGTATAGAATTTTCAGCATGCGATATCGGTAGCCCAAATTTTGCAGGCCGAACATAGATATCAGGTGTGCACCGGCGGGTTATCGAACCCCAGACCATGTGTACGGTCGGCGAGAGTCCTAACCACTGTGCCATCACTAATAGATTATGCAATATTTGGGCAGTCAAAGTTGTGATTTTATGCTCACTACTGTTTATAGTCACGTTAATCAAAATATGAAGACGGCTGCTAAATGTCTGCATTTTCTGTTGCCTGATTGGATCGAAATGTTCGGTCTCTGTAGATATGTCGGCTTCTAGTACGGATGCTTCGGCGATGTCTCAGGACTACTAGGTTTCTATTTGGTGGGTGGTGACTGGCAGTGGAATTACAGATGCACATTTCGTCCTGTCTGAGACTCGTCACTGAATGCACCTGCATTTTCAGTCAGTGATGAGTCCCAGATAGGACGAAACTTAGCATCCTTGATTCCACTGTTAGTTACCACCCACCAAATAAAAACTTATTTTGGTTTCATGTGATAAACTTTCCTAGTTTTTGTTGGGTATTTGTAAGTGTACCTTTTCACTAAGTTCAAACCTACCGCACATTTGTACCCAAATGATCCAGTCCAGAAAATTACTTTGTGGTCAAACTAATATAACAGTTTCTGGTAAAGCAGTGAGAAGAATTCAAACACAGTTCGAATCCAGAATCCTTCTCGACAAGCAGACTTAACTGGTGGAACTTCTGTCCAAAAGAAGCGAGCTTCTGGTTGAAAAGAAACTTATTCTAGGGCCATACCAATGAGATAAAAAAGCATTCACTAATAATAGTTTATATATCAGCCACTGGAGACTAAGGCCAGTTAAACGCCGCTTATCAAACCTTCCCAAAACTGAATAAATCAAACCATCCAGAGTGAAAATTTACAATAAGATCGATAGAAGATGAAGACTGTAAAAATCTGCCCTTTAACTTCTCATAATCAGCTTGAGAATTCACAAAATAAACATCAAATTACCAGAAAAAGCCATCCTTGGAATCAACAAAAATATTCACCCGGCCATATATGAAGAATATTTCTGAAATAACAACTAGAATAAAGAAACTATTCAGAATAAATATCGCACACAGTCAATTCACTCAGTACTATGCAGACGAAAAAGCTTACAGCCAAAGAAGATTAAACTAACACCACCTACAATATAAATTTCATCAACTGTGAGAATCACTGTGTTGGCCACAGTGAACACCTCTTTTGACTTCGAATCGAAGAACATGAATTATCCGTCAAAAGATACAATAGGTATTCCTTTGCATCAGTACTTGCAGACAACTATGGGCACCAGTTTGACTTGTAAAATGTGTAAATGTTTAACAGCGGAATTGTCAAACATACCACAGAAACATGTCATATGCCTGGTACTTAAAGCATTCTTCGCACAGTAGAGACACTGAAATAGCTCAGATTAACCGACTAATAAAGAATAATTTAACACGACATAAAGATCAATGAAATAGCCGATAGTGAGACAAGTTACTGCTAGGAATAAGGAAACCTAAAGTCATCAGGAGAGAAGGTTATACCATTCATGGAGGATTCCAGAATCTTACTTGACACTGAAGTAAGTTGTAAAAATGTTCTCTGGAAAAGCAATGAATTCTTCTCAATCAAATCACTCAGCTCAACGAACACAATCAAATCAAATACATTCATCTGAACTACAACTCCTCTCTATTATTTCAAAATGAAAAGTTTCCCTATGGTTGAATATTTCATTTTTTGGGAAAAGTAGTATTGTGTTACTAAGAAACTCTCAGCAAAAGTAAAGTATTTTATAGAATATTGTAATCGCTTCGTTATTTAATCCACAATTTTGAAGAAAATAGAAGGATACTTAAATCTGCGAGGATGAAAGGATGTCACACATGTTTGCCTCGTCAAGTGCGATCAGAAGGATCGATTCAAGAAAATGCGAAAATTGAATAGAACTGATAAAATACTCAAGTGTAATCTCATTACTGCTGACATTGACGCTTAATATTTAAGATACTGATCTCTGTATAAAACATCAGAATTACAACTTTGCAAGCTACAAGAGTATAGAAAAAATAAAATGTAGAATTCCAGCTTAGTCTTTGTGGGACTGATTCCTACTTAGACAGGCTGCTCTTGTGACTGCTGGACAGAGCTGTATGATTGACTAACTGAGCAGCAGTGTCGAACCTTGTGTAGAAGTGCATCATTTCAAGTTTTCAAAGTTAGACAAAAGAGCTTCAATAGAACCATTATAGGCAGAAATATGATGGTGAAGGAAGATTAACATGGAGAAATATTACGTTTTATTGGATATGGTAGACCACAGACAGTGAATGCATCTGCACCACTGAAAACGATTTTCAATCATGTCAGCAACAGTCTCAAGCCGTCAGTAATTAAAATCGTGGGGACTTCAACTAACCAGTCTATACCTCCCTACATAGCTCAAACTGTAAAATATCTCATGCGCTGATAAAAGGTTTTGATTTGACCACCCTAACTCTCTCCTCACATAATCTTATGTTGGCTAATATTACCGACAGAGGAAGGCTATAGCTTGTCACACGCAAGATGTCGCCTAGTCATCTCAATCTATGTGGCTTCACAACATGATAGATTCACTCACTGCTGCACAGTGCATGTGTTCTTTCGTCAACAGTCGGATATCACGGATGCATCGGAGATGACTCAGGTTAGCAAACGCTACACAAGCCTTTCGTACGTATGCTGAGATTTCGTCAGCAATCAGCCCATAAGAACTGATGCAACCACCCTACCACTTAAGTGAAATGAGAAACAAGCTCTACCACTTTACTCCCTATCTTTAAGCTTGGAGTGATTTATAGTGATAGCGAAGTATAAAGACCTTACATTGAAAATCTAATTTTCAGAATGTATTGGTATTCCGCATCTTTTGTCTTCATTTCATGCTTCCTATGTTGTTTCGCAGTTATCTTCATTTTTGCTCTTTATGACTTAATCCGTTGATGCGCTCGCTGTTCAAGACTTTTTTCAAAAGAAGTTACCACTATTCTACTTACACATTCTTGTCAGTGGCACACACACTACAATGTGATCTTATGATGAAGCATTTGGTATTTGTTCATTTCAGTCCCAGTTAACTTGATCTGAAAAGGGGGATCAAAATGCTCGGTGTTTGTAGCGTTGACGACTGGGTTCATGTCTCGTAGTAGGAATGCCATCTTAGATTCCACTGCTAACTACCATCAAAAAAACTACATTATGATGATGAAACAGTTAGGAATTATTCCAACATCTGAGTATCACCAGTTGTATGTTGTTGTGTAAATGTCTCCTAAAATGTCGTCTTAGACTTAAATGAAAATCCCTAGAATAGTTTTCAATAGAAAAGAATAAGGAAGTTTATATATTTACGGGATAAAATAAGCTCATACTTTATTTGTTACAGCTTCGTCTTCTTCTTTACCTGATAACAGTCTGAAAATCATACAAACCAGCATAAATGAACATGAATACTTAACACACTTAGAGATTAATCCAACTGAAAAGGGCACTTAATAACTCTAAAAACAGTTTTGAAGTAATAGGTACGAATACCAAATAGTTATCAAACGAAAAACCAGTCTTTATTTATTTATGCACAGAATAATGAAAAGTTCGACATTGAAGATGAAAAGTAGGCCGTGAAGAGATACGGATAACTATAGAATAAACTGAAAGATTTATAAGGATTTTAGCTAAGCCATAAGGAATCAAAAATGGTTGTGGATTGTGACTCAATGAAAAACAAGAAAGTAGGTTTAGTTGCTAGGGTAATGCCAGGTTTATTTGCTGTATCACAATCATCAACAGATTTCGGTTTACGTCCACTGAAATGAACTCACAAGTAAACTTTTCAAGTGTTGGTCTGCAGAGATCTGATTGGTTTCAAGTTTGATCACAAACTGACATTAGTTGGAGAATCCATGATAACCAACAGGGAGTACTGGATATCTGTTTCGTCCATTTCGGGTCTTTTCAGGAGTGTTCATCCACCATCCCACCAGGGATCTAGTGGGAAGTAATGACCACTGGGGTTCACCAAGCTCCTGAGTTTTATCTCCAGTAGAGTGATGCGTGTACACTACTGAAGAGTTACAAACGAGGAAGAAATATCTGTTCAGTACTCCGTCGTTTTCAATGGTTCTCTAACTTAAGTCTGTTTGTCATCAATCTTGAAGTCGTAATTAAGCTCCAAATTCAGCACATGTTTTGTTTATGTAGTAAATTTGCTTTCTATTCTTTCTCTCTTCTTTTGAATTACAAAATTTCCATTATATTATGGATAAATAAAGACTGGTTGTTGAATTATTACCTTTCCTGTATTCATTCCCATCCTGCTGTCTTCAGGCCTCTTCATCCGACTCCATAAATGTCCATAAGCTCTCATCTCCTCCTCACACGATTTCCTCCTTGTCACTCTCAGACCAATATCCAACTCATCGTATCCCTTCTGGGTCCTACTCAATGACCTAGCTTGCGTGTGATCTCACTCAATAATCTCTTCAGTGTACACCCAAACCATCTCCATTCTTTTCGACATGTGTGTTGGGCTATCGGTTCCTGGTTGGTTTCTTGCCTTCCACAGTTCCTTTCTGACTGGCCATCTGACCTTCAGTATGGAAATTACCTGTTGATAGAGAATCACAGCCAGCTGGAAAACGTTTCGGAGATACCCCTGCTACATCACTGAAACATACAGAATCACTGCCTTCCTACTAGTGCTAGAAATCTGAATCTTGTTCCTTTTGCTGAATGCGGTAGATATTCACATTGATTCTAGAGCAGTGAAGGTTTGTCTAGCTTTTCTGATACTACCTTTGACGCCCCCATATATATATGTTCCTGCTTTGATCAAACCAGTCAAAGGAATTAGATGTATTA